GATTATTCGTAGCAAAAAAAAACTTGCAGCATGCTCCCTAATAGTCCAACCAGTGGAATAGTATGGGATCAGAATAACCTGGTAGACACCAGAGATGATACATCAACCCAATTAAATTGATATGTAAGACCTTCATTAATAGCACTGATATAATCATATTGGAATCCTTTGCTGAAGCAATGTCAAATTATATAAATGGAATAAGATGCAAAAGAGCACATAAGATATCTACAACTTAAAAGTATATTCAGTAAGGGCATAATATCCATCTGTTTAAATTCATATTAAAAAGGATGGGTTTATAGAATCTGAATTATGAATTCAGAACAAAAATAGGTTATTTGATTTCAATGAATTATAGAACTAATATGTTGGAGAATGAGATAATTGTAGATTTAAAAAAATAGTGTTTGCCAGCCCCAATCTCCATTCCCAGTCAAAAAGTGTTGAATAATGATTAGATATTGTATCAACATCAAAAACTATTGTGGACTTCAATTCGGTCTAAGGGCTCAGAATTAAATTATGTCGTTGTAGATAATAAAATAAAGATATCAACCTTGTTTAAATGTATTTAAAATTTTTAAATTATAATACAAAAGTTTTTAACATTAATAATAGTACACTGAAATGTATAATCTTTAAACTTTTTATCTGAGAAAATTGTAAATCAGAAACAATTGTGCAGAATAATACAGTGAGATCCTATGTACTCTTTACCCAGTTTCCCCCAATGGAAACATCTTGCAAAACAATATACAGCATCAATATTAGGACACTGACATTGATGCAGTCGTGTCCAGACAGTTCCATCACCACAAGAATCCCTCAGGCTGCCTTTTTATGGCCACCTTGACTTCCCTGTAATCAACCACCTTTCTTAGTCCCTGAACACAAATCTGTTCCTCATTTCTATAATTTTGTCATGTCAAGAATATTCTAAAAATAGAATCATACAGTATATAAACTTTTGGTAGTCCTTCCTTGGGTTCCAAGATTACTAGCCAACCTACCTTCTTTCTGCCTTTCAGATTCTCCCTAGGTTTGTTATATATATATAATGCCCAAGGGTTTTAATTGTACTTAGTGGGGGAGTTACAGAAAAGTACATTTATTCCAACTTCCTGGAAACAGAAGTTCAAATGATAGAATTTTAGACACTAAGGTTGTCATACCTTCAATTACTACAATTGAATCTTTTAAAACACTTACAAATAGACTTCAATTACCTCTTACCTATTAGCGTCTAAGTGAATTTCTGGGATATACCATCATAATTTGGTTTGTAGATTTTTTTTAAAAGTATTTCAACCTGATTTAGTTATAGAGAGAAAATATATCCTTTCAGCCAGTAATGATATCAAGATGATATGTAATTACCTATCAGGTGAATTAGAAGTGAACAAATCATATTAGATGTATCAAGGTGAAAAGATGAATAAAAAGAAACAGATTTAGGCTTAGCTCCGCTTTGAATGCCAAAGGCTAAAACAACTGGAATACTTTGAGTTTTTCAAAGTGAATAATTGCATATTTGCCTAGCATAGTGTCTTTCATTATTATTCTAGCCACCTTTTAAAAGGAACAAAATAAAATAATTGTATTTTAACTCCAGGTACTCAGATTTACTATGACAACATAAGTCACTGTTTGCTTTGGGCACCATTCCTACTCTTCACATTGCCCAAACTTCTCCAAACTGGGCCATTTGCTTCTCCATGAATAATAATTTGCACCTTCCCAGAGCTTTTCTGAGATCTGCTTGGAAGATGTCTTCTCCTTTCCTCTCTCAAAGTCCTTCCATCTCTTGAGGTTTATCTCCAATGTGCCAACCTGCACCTAACCGTGATAATTAATTGCCAGCTCTTGGGGGAGACAGAAATTGTGTTCCGTCTTAAAGGATGAGTTAGAATTGTTCAGAGGTGCAAGGCTGGACAGGCAGGGGAGGGAGGAGGCATAGGGCATTCACATGCTTTCTTGGTAGAATAGGCTAATGAGTTAAAGAACAGAGGAGGAAAACTACCTGATATATTTCAGCAAACCGCCAAACAGCTTACTACTGGCATCAATTTTGAGACTAGGAGTGGTGGGAAATGAGGCTAGAAGGGGAGCTAAGTATAACATTAGGAAGGGTTTGTATTCCATGAAAAATATCATACTTTTTTAGTAACCACTTAGTAGACATTCGATTTTTTTGTTAGTCACTTAGTAGACATTCAATTTTCTTCCTTCCTTCTGACACTTATCTCAATTTACTTCAAATTATAATTGCACATGTATCTTTGCTACAAGATTGCAGATTCCTTTAGGATAGGATTGTATCCAAAACAGTGGCTCTAACCGGGGGAAATTTTGCCCTTTAAGGGATATATGGCAATTTCTGCTGACATTTTTATTGTCCCAAATGTCATCTGTCTTGATGGTAGGATATTACTAAACATCCTTTAATGCACAAGAGAGCTCACAAAATATTGCTTAACCCAAAATATCAATGATGCTGAGGTTGGAAATCTAGCTTAGTTCATCTTTGCAGCCAGGTAGCAAATGAGCAGAGTTGCACATTATGGGAGACCGTCAGAGTTGTCAGAAATGATTTGAAACCCCTCTTCTGTAGGTGAGTTTTATAAATCACCATGAGGGAGTGAAAATTAATTGGAAATTTATATGGTGTAGGAAAATTAGAAGATAACAGAGGTTTATGAATCTTGATTAATTTGGGAAAAACAAATTTTCATTTGTATTTAGAGGAGACCAATTTAAAAGCTAAAGTTCTCTTAATCAGCAAGCTTTTGTAATGAAATGCAGCAGGATTTACTTTTCTATCAAAGCCGCTCCCTTGATAGTTAAAGAATGCAACCAAACACAATTAAAAGATCACTGGTAAGCAGAATACAGTGCCTTCTCTGAATTCTGGGAGAGTGGTGCAGTTAATAATCTAGGAGCTTAATGAAAAGTTAAACTTTTTTGGTCCTGAATCTATCAATGTTGTTTACCTACATTTTTATATCCAAAAGTGATGAAATAGTAAGAATCAAAAGAAAATTTGTGAAAAAAAATGTTTTATCGATAATTCAAGTAACAAATATTTAAAACTGAAAAGAAGAGATAAATTATTAATAAATCTGTAGCAATTAGCCATGGATGGTAAGGACTTCATATGAAGGAAGGGAAGAAGCTATAGACATGACTGGGGCATTTAATCAAACCATTGCCTCTTTACCTAGCTACAGTCATATCCAAGTACCAATGACAGAGTATCCATGGGGCCAGGCCACTCAATGATTAGAGATTTTTATGGGTCCTGGTGGATAAAAGATTAAGTGTTAGTATAATCTATTTTTCCAGTACCCATGAAAATGCTAAAATCACCATATGACTTTGTTTGGTCAAATCAAAATTTCCGCTAAAACCAAATGGGAGACACTGTTTTTAATAATACTCTGTACTTGAAAAATCAGTCCCGTAAAAGCAATGATCCTTATGATTCTATTATATAAGAAAATAGTTCTTACTATCACTATTTTATTGCCAATAGCAACATATAATTCAATGAAAACAATGCTGGTGGTTGATTATTTTTTTAAAGAAAACTAACTCTGCTAATACAACATCAGTGGTGGTATCCTTATTTAGCTGTTTATTTGTGCACTGGTTCAGATACTGCATTGGGGGCGGGTACACATTCCCTCTCATCTGGGATCTGAAAGCAAAAGCCCTGGAAGAATATGTTGCACAGCCTTCTCTCCCATCCATTCCTCCCGGAGCAGGGTCACTGCTTCTGAGCCAGGATAGCCAGTGCTTCATCCCAAACTCTCTTTCTTTGGAAGAGAGTTTGAAACTGTCGCATAGTACTTTCTCCTTCAAACCCAAATTAGAGATTTTCTAAAGTTTCCTTTAACTGGACCTCCCTTTGTCTCCAAATAGTTCTGTGCTCATTACATCACTATCAGTGTCCCATCCGACTTAAAATCCCCCGCTCACCTCTTCCAGAAGGATCGCTGCCAGCTAGTACAAGACCTTCAGTAGGCTCATCACGCAGGGCCCTGCTCCTCAGCTTCCCGATCAGAGGCTGCAGCCTTTCCTAAGGTCCCTTCCCTTTCCCACACCAAATGCTGTCGTGGGAGGTCAGGACTCAACGCTTTTCTGAAATGCCATCGTGAATAATCTTCATCGCCGTTCTGAGGACATACTTTTAAAGATTTTTTTTTAAAGATTATTTAACTGGATTATTTTGGATAATAATTTTTCCACTTATCAGGAATGATATTAGTTTGCTTCCTTCCAGCAGTGCTCATAACTTGACTAAATAAATAGACTGATATGAGGGAATGCAATCTAAGGGGACAGATATCACAGGACTTTGCTATGCTCCTGTACAGGGACCCATTTCAGTCAGTGAAGACTTGCCTGCCCATAGGGGCCTTTTTGCGGTGTGTTTCAGAAAAGACAATGTGATGTGCGCAATCCTGACTTTAATGCATTGGGATCCTCATCACCCACAGGCGTCCACCTCATCCTAATTAGACTTGGTCTGCCCGGTTCCTGTTCGAGGTCTAAATAAGAGGTCTTTTTACTGATAGAGTGTTCATGCCACATACCATGGAATCTCCTTAATATTTTTCCCTGAAAGCGTTTTTATGCTAGTCAGTGGCTCATGTAGGTAAATTAGAAGTTGATTGGCACAAATGCAAATGTTATTGCATTAATGAGTGGCCATAATTCCTTTTTCCTTTTCCTGCATCTACAACAACTTGTTTTAGATTGCCTGGCAATTAGCAAGTCTTACACATAATTGCAGGTCAGAGGAAAATATTTCTTTATCAGGCAGATAGACGTCACTGGAATCGGGAATCCACACTGGAGTCAGGATCCCGTCTGATGGACCATCTTGGAACACTAGACCTAGTCCCAAACTGCCTGCCTTTGAAAAGTCACGCCCCCAGCGAGCTCCAGTTCTGTTGCCTTTGCCTCCTGACTAAAGCACCTTTGTTTTGTTTCAGCTGGCAGGGTTCATCTACGCCTGTTATGTTGTGAAATGTATAACTGAAGAAGAGGACAGCTGTAAGTACTAAAGCTCTATTCTGTTTCTTCCAAGCTCAAAGCATCTTCCCAACTGCCTCCTGCCTAGCCTTCCTCGTGCTCAGACAATGTCCCCCAACATGTCATTAGAACAGGCGATAAGCCTTTCGTATCCATAGGGCTAAAGTGTTTTCATAAAAGTATAGAGGATATCAAAACAACTGGGGAAGGATTCATTTTGAAAACATATTTCTTTTTTATTGGAAAGTACTGTTAAGATCTTATAACAATTCAAGTAGGAAATAGGAAGGGGCAACTGGAGATGGAAGTGGTTTTTCAAATTGGTTAACTTGACTGTTCTGTTTCTATAAACCTTTTATTAGGTATCGATAACTAATCAGTTTTACCCAGGACTACAAGCCTTAACAATTAACAATAGTTCCTAAAATTCTCACAAGAATTAACTTCGGATTAATTCAAGAAGTTTGTCTTCAGGAAAGCAAATTTTTATATTTCCTTTTTGTTCCTACTCTTGGATGCAAGTGGCTAGAACTCCGTGTCTGAGTCTCAGCGTTGAGTCCTATTGCTTGGTCCAGAGTTGAGATGGCGGTGCCCTCCTGCAGGCCTCGAGTGGCTCCACTGTCCTCTGCTCTTCCAAAAACAGCAGGTGCAAGGTTTCACTCCGCCCTTGCACCTAAGGATCTGAAAGAGGGGGATTGGAAAAAGACTTTGAGTCTCTCTGAGTGCTATCTTGGATACTTGCCCATGTACCTATATTTACTCAGGAAAAAAATCAAAATTGGGAATCATGCATTTTGGTTTCCAAAAATATTCATAATGATGGGGTTTTGAGACAGAGGGGAAAAAAGTCAAGAATTCACTGCTCTGTTACAGGATGATTTGAGGAATACACAGTACATAGTTTATATTACTTTATGTATGAGAGGAAATGATGGCCCTTTTGCTAAAAAAGCATTTTTAAAACATTTTTCAGTGTATCAAGTGCTCTGTGAGGCTTTGGAGATTTTAAGATTGGTAGCACACAATCTTTTACCTCTAGGAATTTACTGTCTGGTAGGAAGAAGCAATCGTGTGGACAAATGAGTATAAAACCCTCCAGAGTGCATAGTGGGGGGAAATAGGAAAGGGGCCAGGATAGTCATTATAGGGAAGGATACTCTTACACTCTTGAGCTTTGTCTTGAAGATGAATAGATGAAAGATGACTAGGGTAGCCAATGTGGGAGTAAGGTGATTCCAGGTAAAAGGTGAGAAAGCACCAAGGCATCTCATAGCTGGTCATGTTGGGAGCACAGAAGCCAAGTTAATATGACTGGGTTGTGTCCTGTGCTAGAGGTGGGCATCCAGAGAAGATTAGAAAAGAGAGTGTGGATGAGACAGTAGAAAAATGGTGTGACAGAGTGAGGAATTTGGACCTTATTTTGTATAGCATGATGGCAAATCAATTGGCAGGTAGCTTATAAAAACAGAATAATATAATCAAATTTGTACTTGAGAAAAATCCCAGTGGTGTCAGTGTGAAGGAAAGACCAGAAGCAGTGGGACAGATTAGAGAAAGGGAGACTTGTTAGACATCATGACAATGACTGAGATACGAGATCATGAGGTCTGGACCGTGTTGTAGAAGGACAGCATAGATATGACAGGAGACATGCTGAAACAGAGTGTTAATGGGCTATGGGTGGTACTGTGTAAGGGACAATGAAGACACTGATAGGTTCCTGGGTTTCTGGTATAAGTGAATGGGTACATGGAAATGTCACTTGAGGAAAATAGAATGGGAATATGAAAATGGGTTCCATTTGAACAGGTTGAGATGAAGATGCCTAATGAATATGCAAGAGAAGACATCTATGAGTACTTGTCTTATGCACAAAAGATGTATTCCAAGTTAGGAGGGGTAATAGATTAATGGATTCTTAAATGCACGGACTCCACAAACTATGGAAGTGCATTCAGATATTACCATGCAGTGTTTTAGTGCCAAATCTTTAATGAAAGGAAAGTCTACAGGTTAAATTTCATATGAGAGTTGAGTTCCTTTGGCTATAATGATTGGTTTCATTTCACAATGACACCAGTGCATTTTTTACTTCAGAAAATACTGACACGCCAACTTACCTAGACAGATAATCAGTATCTCTCAAGAATAGTATCTCCCAGAGGGGACCCTAGAAATACTGGTTCCATAAGATATACTGCTCAAAACTAGATCCCAAAGCCAAATAAGTTTGACACTGGAAATTTAGAATCTACATTTACACAGTCACACCTTTGTGACCACTGCAATAAAGAAGTATATTCAATTTTTCTTAATCCGCGATTGAGCCGTATTACATTGGATGACATATAGTGAGGCCAAATGCAGATCACAGCGAGAAGCCACAAATAGTTTTGCAGTTTTATTATACTCATAGTGTCCTGGGGCGAACACTTCATGCCACATAGGGCCACACAGAAAGCTCCAGGGTAGATCAGAAGGCAGAGAGAGAGAGAAAACTGTGGGCAAACACCTTTACTGTGGTTTTTTTTTCATCTAAAGAAATGGATAAGGCAGGCTAAGCAGGTTGAGTACTAGCTAGCTCACTTTAAAAGTGGCACCTCGTGAAGTGCATGTTCACCTGACTATTAAAGAATATAGTTTGGGGCTATCTAAATACCACATGATCTCACTCATTTGTGGAATATAAAGAACATTATAAACTGTTGAACAAAAATAGATACAGAGGCAAAGAAGCATAGAACAGACTGTCAAACTACAGCGGAAGGCAAGGCGGGTTGGGGGGCTAAGAGATCAACCGAAGGACTTGTATGCATGCATATAAGCATAACCAATGGACACAAGACACTGGGGAGGGGGGATGAGGGCAAGAGTTGGGGGGTAGGGGAGGCCAGGGGGAGATCAATGGGGGGGAAAAAGGAGACATGTATTACTATTTATAATACCTTAAACAATAAATAAAATCTAAAAATAAATAAAGTCTCCAGGTATTTTAGGTGAGCTAGGGCTTACTTGGTATCAGCCAGTGGTCATTTTGTAGATGTTAAGACATCGATTTTCAAAAGTTAAAAGTATAATAATAACCCAAACGCCTGAACACGGAATGCTTTTTCATAAGAAGTCTTAATATTCCAGAGAATTGGAGTTCCAGAAAACACATTTTAGGGAATTCACCCTAGATCTAGTTTTGGCCAAAACCAAATATGTTTTGGAAGATCAGGTTTATCTTTCAAGCATCTAATCAACTATTTTCCCAGAGACTCTAAAATAATGCTTATGTCTTTATATGTATTTTGACCACAGTACTTTATCTTCCTTTATTAACCCAACTTCTCATAGGCAAGTTTTATCATTTTAGTCTTTTTGCTCAGTGGACAAGATATGAATTACTTTTCCTATTTTTATATCCAAGTAGAATTACCTTAGAGTTCACAGGACTAGACAGCCTGCTGGAGATGTTCCTCTGGGCTACTTCTCTGTCCAGACAGTTATGAGTATTGAGTACAATGCTTTCATTTAATATTTTCATGTATTGTCATAGTCTTGATCATTTGTATGTTCATCTCTAGACTCTGCCTAGAACACGTGACTTCCAATGCTTAAGGGTAAAGGTTTGAAATTTCGGTCTAATTTTTGGTAATTATGTCACAGAGGAAATTATTTTGATCCTTTAAAAGCATCCTGGCTTGTTGAAAATCAAACACACACACACACACACACACACACACACACACACGCATGTGCATGTACTCACAGAAAGTAAGCCCTGATGTATGGGACAGGTTTAATGTCTGAGTCATCGGGGAAGGGCTGAGTCTGTGTCTGCTCCTGCCTGCTGTGGATTTGTAATGCAGCATCCTGGTAGAAGTGTCATGCAGGAGGAGGTGCTACCTACCCGCCTGCCTAGTGGGTTAAGTTTCCATCCCTCAGAGCCCCGTTAGGAACAGAGAGCAGTTTGGGTTCTGTAACTGCTGAGTGAGGTAACAGCCCAAGTATGGCAACTGGAAGATTACAGTGTTCTTGGTGTCAGTATGAGGCTGGCCAGCCATGGGCTCAGTTTTGACACCTCAGACCTCAGCAGCAAGTGTGGCGAGGGAGCCACAGAGACCTCTGGGGGCGATGGAGTGGGTTCGGACTCAAACTTAGATGCGTGAAATAGCAATCAACCCTCATTGAACTAGAAGGAGTGAGATTGCAGGCACGTCAAATGCCTGAGAATTTGTTTTTCTTATTTCTCCTTTTAAACAGGATCTCATTTGCTTTTCTAGAGCCCAGTTTGATGAATATTTATATGGACATTTGAATGCAAAGTTATTGATTTTTCCTATGAAAAAGCCTGGACCTTGAAGCTTACGTCTCTTAGCCTTTCATTAGCTAAACCAGAGCCACAGCCTTTCATTAGCTAAGCCAGAGCCACAGCCTGAGAGGCGGCTGGCTGTGCAGACTCACAGGACGCCACTGCCATCTGCTGTGCTTCCCGGGAGATAGCAGCCACCCTGGGAGCATAGGTGTCAAACAGAAAGATGGGACACTCCTGCCCCCAAGTATTTGTCACCCGGTGCTGCAGTGGTAAAATCAAAAACTGGGTGGCTTAGCCAACAGAACTTTATTTTCGCACAGTTCATAAGGCTGGAAGTCCAAGATCAAGATGTTGGCAGGTTTGGTTTCTTCTAAAGCCTCTTACCTTGGCTTACAGATGACTGGCTTCTTGTTTTGTCCTCACATGGACTTTCTTCTCCGTGTGTACATGGCCTTGGTGTCTCTTATTCTTCTTATAAGGACACCAGACCTATTGAATTAGGGCCTCACACTTATGGCATCATTCAACCTTAATTACCTCTTGGCCTCATCTCCAAATACAATAACATGGGAGATAAGGCCTTTAATATATAAATTGGGGAAGAGAAGAGACACAATTCAGTTCATAACATCCCATATTCACACACAAACACACACACACACACACACACACACACACACACACACACATCATGTGGCTCCCAGCTATTTGAAAATATTTA